CCTCAGCGCGGCGCGGCGGGCTCTCCCCCGCTGCCTGGCGGCGTCCCGAGCGCTGCAGGGAAATGGTGGGTTTGGGGTGGTTGTTGTTTTTTTTTTTTTTTTTTTTTTCTTTGCCTTTTTTTTTTTTTTTTCCCCGTCTCCTGAGCAGATTCTGCTGCAGCTCAGCTTTGGGTGGAGGCTGGGGGTTATCTCGGAGCTTCACAAGCCTCGCTGTGCTCTGCGGGGAGTTGCAGCTCGTGCTCACTGCAGACCCAGAGTAGGTGAGCCAGGAAAGCCTGGCTTGAGCAACCACTTCAGAGGGCAGGACAGGGAGGAAAAGCAAACACTGTAGAGAGGTGGCCTCCCTGGTAAGGCTAGAGCAGGACCGTCCTGCGGACCCTGAGGGAGGGAGAAGGTAAGTGGCTGCTTGGCAGAGGCTGCCTGCGGGAGCGGCATGTGCCGGGCAGGGCGCGCCCTGCCCGCAGTTCCTGCGGCTCAGAACCAGCCGCTCCGTGGGTTTGTACAGCCTGTGCTGTGGTATGTGCCGAGGCTCAGGGCTGTTCCCCTGCGAGGGAGAGCACTGGGTGCTGCCGCGAAGGAGGCACCGCAGCCCCGCGCCTTTCGCAACGACTGCGCTCATCGCTCCATTCCTCGCTCCCCCCCTCGCTCCTCACCGGGTCAGGCTCTGTCGAGAACAAGCGACAAACCGTCCGCACAAAACAGAACACGTTTCCATGGAGGGGGAAAAAAATACCAACAAAACCAACCAACAAAAGCGTTTCCGCAGTGCCAGGCTGGCTCTGAAGCGCTGCCTTCAGCGCTGTGAGCCCCGTCGGGGGCTCCCGGGCCGGGGCCGCCCGAGCCGCTGGAGCCAGCGCTGAGCCTGGGTCACAGCGGCTCTCAGTGACCATCTGCCAGCAAAATCGGAAGGAACGGTGACGTTATTCTTAGCAGAACACCATTAAAATGCTCCTCTGGTATTTCTCAATAGAGGTGAAAAGCATTTCAGCTTCCTGGAAATGGCCGAAGCTGGCGACGTGTAGATCAAAGTACGGCGCAGAGCTGGGCTCGGCTTTGCAGGGGGGTTTGAACTGTAGTGAAAACGTTTCTGCAGCTTGCATCGTAGTGAGTTAAGTCAGCACGTGAAGCGATTAAAAAAAAAAAAGCAAGTTTTAAACGGCATCGGGCTATTAACTTTCCTGGGATTTAAAATTTATGTTTAAATATATATTTGGCTGTTAGCAATACCTGCATTTACGAGTAACAATTGGTCTGTTTAACCCTGAAGCAAACCAGCTCTGCCTAACGCAAGGCTTTGAAGCGACACAGCCAGACCATAATACTGTGGGAGCTTAGACAGCTTTGTCTGTACTTGCATCTCTCTGCATATTTTTCCAGGACTCTGATCTTTGTCTGCGATTAATCATTGTCCAGGACGGCTGTTCCCGATGGTAGGATCCATGAAGTGCTCCAGCTGGGAGAGGTCCTAACGCCTGTGCCTGGCTCTGCGTACGTGCAAACCAGGGCCAGAAATTGCTGGGGCAGCGGGGGTTGGACAGCGAGCCCGCCGTGCCCCCCCAGTGAATTGTATGGGTCCTCAGCACTTCTGGAAATGGTTTTTGTAAGTCTGAGATGAAAATTTCTTTCCGTTTTTTAGAGTTTCTGAATGACTATAATGTTCAATGTAGTTTAAAAGTCGCCAAGGCAGTTGAGACCGGTTGTGCTCTCAGAGTGGGTGGTTTCATGGCTGCTGAACCTCGTATCTGAAAAGCAAAATGTTCTGGTACAGCGTGTTTAAATCCCAGAAAGGTCAAACCAGACTTTCATACTTGGGTTAGACTGACCCTGGTGTGCTGCATGAGACTCTTTAGATAAAGAAAGAGATCTTTCAGGGAGAAGGAGAAAAAAAAAAAAGGTTTTTTTTCTCTGAACAGCTTGTGGTGACTCCGTGCACATTCTTGAAGCAAAGGGGTTTGTTCTTGCCCGCAGCGTCCCTCCCCGGCATTGTTGAGTGGAAAACTCTTATGCTAATTATATCACTGTCTGTTATCAATAAGAAGTGATTTAATTTCTTTGGCAAAGTGTTGCAACAAGAGCAAATTAGATTGAGAGGCAAAGTGAAATAAAAAATATGCAGCTGTTCTGCTAAACAATGATCCTGACTGTTTACAACATTTTGTTTTAGACTGCCTTGTACACAGAATCCTTTATATTGAAGCTTTTCAAGTCACAATCCATTGCTTGTGCAAGGAAACTAGATTAACAGATTATAAAAGACAAAAGAGACCAAGGTTCATCTGGTTCGACTTCCTGCATTATGTACGTCTCGGGATTTTTGTGAATTTGTTGCTTTTTCTCATTTGAAAGAATTTAACTGCAGCATGCCTGCATCTTAGATAAAGGTCAGATTTTCATTTTAAAATGGGCTGTGAGAGGGAGTAAAATAAGAGGAAATTTTTTCCATCAAAATCTACCTGCCAGACTAGAAATCAAAGTACCTTTTTAAACTTGTCTAGTTTCTGTTTTCAGTTGCTGGATGTCTCTGCCCTTCAGTCTGCTTGGTGGAGGAATGCTCCATGGGCAGATTTTCATCCCTGTGTAGCTGTGCTCAGGCTGAGCATTTGATACTCCATTGCAGACTGCAGAGCTCCCCCTCGGGTCCGTCTTTACTAATCCTGGAATTGTTCCTGCCTGTGAACGCTACAGTTTGTCACCATTTTGATCTGGGCAGAAGGGGATGGAGCCCTCAGCAGAGATCAGACCCAAGCCAACAGCCCTCCTGGCTGAGCTGTCTCTGTCAGGAATCCAGGGATTACACCAGCCCATGTTCAGCTGGTTTCCCAGCACGGCTCCTAAAATACTCTCAGATCTGCTCCTTCTTAGGATGACAACCCTGTGCTGTAGGTTTGTGCTCTTTGTTCTGCATGTATGGCTTTACACTTGTTCCTCTTGCAAAGGACAAGCCCTTAACGTTCTTGCTTGCAATGGCTTTTTTTATTATTTTTCTTAATTACCCCCTCCTGCTACTGCAAAATGTCACCTACCAAGTTGGTTGGTCGTGATTTTGTATTTTATCCAGATAAACAACTGGTTGTGTCTCCACTGTGGGTGTTTCCTGGTTCCGGGTGTGTGTACACACACCTGAGCTGTGTCAATATTGTGTCAGGAGGAGGTCTGGTTGTACAACATCCCTTGCCACACCCCAGTTTCATGGGAAGAAAGCCCAGCTTAGGAGCTGGAAGGGAGCCAGGAAGCACACTGCAACGTTTGCTTGCCGTGGTGTCTATTATGTAGCCATTAAATAACCTAAGGCCCAAAACAGGTGGTTGCAGACCCATAAAGGAGAGGTGACGCCTCTAGGACACGGTGGTTACAAAGTGCATTTTGAGACCTTCCTGTTAGAGGGCTTTTTTTAGAGGTGGTGCCTCTACTATGTATTCTCTACTCAGCTGTTCGTTCAAGACCTAAATACATTTGAGACTCCTTCCCCACTGCCAAATTTGATTGAGATTGGAGGGGGGAAATGACATAGAACTACACAGTCACATTAGACAGTTTTATTTTTAGGGAACCAGGCTAAGAATATCGAAGGAATATTGAGTAGGAATATGGACGTGGTATTTGCCTGTTCAGTTTTTCTTGCCATGAAATTTTCCATTTCTTCCTGAGAACAGCAGATGATCTGTCTAGGGAATTGTCAGCCAAAATAAGCAGCCTCCTGACAGATTTCACCTGTGTCCCAGCATGCTCTGAGGGTACATGGGATGTGAGCCTTGAACAATGACAGGGAATCACTACTTGGCTGTGTTGTTTGGCTGCTGGGGTACAGAGATACGTGGTGATACCCAACAGTGGAACAAACATCTACTTTTTTTTTTTTGATGGACATGTTGGATATTTGCCAGAGATGTTTTTTTTTTGTTACTTTTTAAGCTAGATCTGTTCATTTTATACCTGTTAGTATTATGACAAAGCCACCTCTGTAAGGTAGGGAGTGAGTGCTTTCAGAGATCTAATCGTTCTTGAGCTATAAAGGAATAAAGAAGCTGTTTCAACACCTGACTTGCAGAATGTTTTGTGTTGCTTCTTGCCCATTGAAATGCAGCTGCTATTGAAACACTGTGATCCCATCAGGATGTAGAACCGGTTATTTTTTAGAATGCTTTCAAGCTTATAAAAATCATGAAATAAATCAAGAAGGTTGGCAATTCTAATCAGCATTCTAAAGCCATCAGATCACAAAACAGTTCAGTGCTTCATGGCCTCTGAACAGTACAGTTTTACAAAAAAAAAAAAAAAAAAGAAAAAGAGAAGGAATGAAAAGAATGTACCATTTAGAGAAGCTGGGTGCTTACAAAGCTTGCATCAAAAGGAAATGAAGATACAAATAAGTAATCTAAAAGGATATTTATGCATTAAATTACTTGTGTCTCTGGACACATCATTAAACAGTCTGGATGTGATGGTAGCTGGGGACCTGGAAGCCTTTTTAACACATGCAGCACATACAGGGAATGTTCTGATTACAAGTGATGGAGTATAAAATGTTTTAGCCAGAAACTGATGACAAAGATCAAATGGAATGAGTTGAGCTTACAAATCAGAGCAGCTTCTTCTCGCTGGTGTGATGTGACACAAGACCAAGACTGTTTTGCCCTTGACATTGTCACCATTGCTCTCTAACCTGCAGTTAAGGATTTGCATCTTTATTTATTGTCTGACAGGGCAGTTGGGAGTGCCCCAGCTGCTCCCCAAGCCCTGGTTTGCAGCAGAGTGGGCCAGAACGGGCAGGATCAGGGAAGGTGTGCCATCCATCGCCTTTCTGTGCCGCTGCATCACGGCAGCTCCCAGTTGCTAAGCAGCTGCAGAGCTGTCTCTGTACAAGGGGAGCAACATGGGTTCCCCTTGATCAGTGGAGAGGAGCCGGCAGCATGGAAACGGGAGCAGTGACCGTAGGAACATCATTCCTTTCCTGGCTGGCTCCGATGCCGAGTGGAGCGAAGGGACACTCGGTGGCCCAGGAGCAGGGGGGGGGGCAGTAGGGGAGGGCAGAGCCAGCATATGTGCACAGCAGAGGTTACAAAGACAGCAGATCCTGGCAGAGCAGGGGGCACACACCAAGGAGAAAGGAATGGGAGAGAGGCCAAATGCACAGTTCGGAATAAAAAAACCCCAGGAGGAGAGTGTGGCATATGGAGAGGGGAAATAAAGCAGAACTTGCACAGCCTGCGAATAATTGAATAGAAAATACAGGAAGAGGGAAGGAGCTTGATTCATTACTGCCCTTCATCTTGTGGAGACAGCTACACCCGGGAAGAGGAGGTGTGGAATACAACGGCATCCTTCATGTTTCACAGTGAACTGTAGGTTTTACATTTCAACCCCTGCCATTTGTGGTTTTCTCCTTTCACAGCCCCTGCCTTTTGTTCAGACTTGATTCCTGCAGGCTCCATTCTTATCTTTGTCTACTTTCTGATTTATTTTTGTACTTGCTTTAGTTTTTTTGGGGGGGTTTTTTTTTTTTTTTAAGGTAAGTTTTAAATTAAGATACCCTTTCCAGATATTTTTGCTGTTTTCACCTTCGTGAGGGCAGGCCATCGCTAGCTCCTAACTGAAGTTGGTTTCTACTAAATCCACAAAGCCATCGCTGCTTTTCTCCCCTTCTCTCTCCTGGGAGCTGCTGATGGAGAACAGGGTTCTCTTTGCTTCCCGACACCTTCCCCTGCTCGTTGTCTTTCCCTTTCCCTGCTCAGTGCCTGCCAGCAGTCCGGAAAGGCTCGTGGCTCGCAGCGTGCAGGAAGCGGTTCCTGTGGCAGTAAATTATCACGAACGCCTGACGTGTTGCATAAAGGGGAGTACAAAAGTGTCACGAACATCTGGGGAGGGGGGTTGTGACCAAAGGAGAGCCTTGGTTCCACCACAGCTCCGCTGCCCACATGAAAAAGCACTTTGTGGTGTCGGCTCCTCACATGCAGTTGGTGTGTAATAGGAAATGCCAGTGGAGCTGGCAGGGAGGGAGGGGAGCTGGACATTCCTCCCTCTGGCTCCTCCAGGCAGAGGACTGAGGGGCGTGTTTGGGAGGGTGGGGAGAGGAATTTAAATTCCCGCAGCTGTTGCTCTCCTCTATGACCAGCCCTGGCTTGCTTGGAGGCCTTTTGACTGAGAACACTTTTCCCCAGGTCCAAAATTGAGTCCTAAAAGGAAAATGGAGGTGCCCACCCAGATCTGCAGTGGAAAGGAGTTGCTGTGAGCTCTGTGTGTGTGTGTGTGTGTGAAATTCAAGCCAATAAAATACTTGACAAATACACAGCCAGATGTGTTTTGTACTTGGAAGATTTTTGTCTAAGATGTCTGATTCGGGGGAATGTTATATTTGCTTCCTTCTTCCATTTGCCTGGAGCCCTTATCTTTGAACAGGCACTATCTATACTATTGTTAGACTCCCAAGACCATTAAAGGTCTTTGGGCACTGACATTTTACAAGCAGATTCAGCTGCCTTTCACACGGGGGCATTTTTAGCATTATGAGAGATGTAAGTTTAATTAGAACAGTTTTAACCAGGAAATCTCCCTGCCTTAAGAAATCAGAGCTACTGTGTTAATCCCAGCAGGCAACTGGGAACTTGACAAAGTGCCTGTTGTTAGGATGAGAGTCAGGAAGGGTGAAATGTGTGTAGGAAGGGAGAAACGCACAGGAAATGTGCCATCAAGGACAGCGGTGTGGAGCTGTGCAGGGCAGGGTGCCAGACACGTGGGCTGGAGCAGCACTGTCAGGTTGCTGCTCTCTCTGTTCCTGCCCTCACCACCCCAAACCACTGCTGTGATTGCTCCAACACCTCCCTGACCTGCTCTGGTGGCTCACATGAGGACATCCAGCCAGGCCACTCTGCACGGTCAGCCTGTCCAGCTCCCACAACTCGGGCACAGGCCAAAAATCGCAGCTCTAAAGCAAACATGACGCAGTTACAACCATTTCCAGTGCCTCTAGTTATTAATTAGCCTGCTCTGAACATCGCTCTTCCTGTGCAGGCTTTGCTCTGGCCGGGTTATGGCTGCTCTCAGGTCTGAGAGAAACTCAGTCTGGGCCTGTCCTTTGCCTGGCAATGCTCTGACAAGCCACAAGTCTCTCTGGCTCCTGCCAAAACTCCATCTCGAGGTATGAGCTGCCTCCCAGACAGATAACAGCAGAGCAAGCTTAGCTTAGCTCTCCCCATACATCTAGCACTCTACAAAAAACAGGCAGAAATTATGGTGTGTCCTATTGGGATAGAAAGAGAGGATTTTATCATCCCTTCAGTCTGCCCTTGCTGCCTTCCTGTGGGAAGTTTGCACAAATATCAAGGGGAGGATGCACACTTCATATGTTAACTGCCTTTTAATGTCAGTGCCATGCACTACTCAGCAAAAACCTGCCCCTATTTCATCCATAGTCCTTTTGCCATCTTTTTTGCTCCCAGTTTCCCCACATTCTTGTCCAAAACATTTGAGAGCAGGTGCAAGAGTGATGGCTATTGCATAGCCAGTGCAGGAACGAGGTGTTGATCAAAGCCTGACTCTTCCAATGGCTCTGAAAAACACACACTTGCTCAGGCTGCACTGTGACTCACATGGCAGAAAGCATATTTAGGAAGCCAAGCCTGGGTTCACTTGAACTTGATGTTCTCAAAGCCTTACAAAAAAAGTACAACTCCACATATTTCAGGTTTAGTGGAATCCTCCAGCTGATCTTTGGGGAGTGTAACCCAGATTTGGCCATCCACAGTTGACTCACCTACTCCATATTAATCCCTGCTGTGTAAATTAAAGAAGCTGAATGCAACTCCTGCCCTGGTACTGTCATCATCTTTATTAACATACACTCCTCTTGGATTCAGTCCTCCCTTGACTCTGAACCAGCAAGAATATTAAAAGAAAATCTCTCTCTACAAGGAATTACATAATTTGGGAATGGAGAAGAAGGGCAAAGTGATCTGAAGAAAGCAGATACTGTGGAGAGCGCTCCAATTTTGGAAAAATAACATTTCAGTGCTTGCTGGGTCAGGTGGAGTGTTGGGTAATGAAAACATGGGGAGGCATAAGCCAGAGGGATTTTAGGGGTGTACACTAAAGGGAGTGGTCAGATACTGGGTAAGAATGCATTGTGTTGCAACATCCTCTTTCCCTAAATTTCCCAAAATTACTTCCTGATGGGATTTATTCTCTGCTGCAGATCTGGATGCAGAAGAGCATCCAATGGTGACTGATTTCATGCAGGTCTGTAGCAGAGCCCTGTGCTCTCTCTGAGCCACGAGCAAGGCTGTGTCTCACTCCTGAACCCGCTGCCTCTGCCTGTTCCCATGGTAAAACCAACCCCAGCTACCAACGCAAACACAACTGCAGATCTCACCTGAGAGAAGGCGTTTTGAATCCCTCTGTCAAACCTCCAGATTCAGTTCTCAGCACAGAGGATGAGATCCAGCATCTCTGCAATGGCTCTGCCAGCCCGTGTTGTCAAATTCCTCCCCATGGCTCAGGGGAGCTGTGCCAGCACATCTGGGAGACACACATCGCCCAGCTCGGCGGGGGCAGAGCCATGGAGGTGTTGGCAGGCACTGGTGTGTTCATTTCATGCTTTTCAGAGATCAGTCATTGTGCTTGATGTTCCAGAAAAGCATGGGATGATCTTAACCTCGTGTTACCCATTTTTCACAACAGAATTTGGCTTGAGAGTTCACACTTTAGTGAGCAACAGAAACTTGAAACTGCCCCTAAGCCCCTGCAGCATCAGGCCGAGGCTTTACCACATTGATTTGCACCCACTTCACTTTGTAAAGTGGGGTGGTTTTTTTCCCCCACAGCTGCAAAGCCAAGAACTCAGTTTCAAATGAAAGGTGAGATTCTAAATGCAGCATGTTGGCCATGCCTGTATCAGGTAGGCCGTGTTTGGCCCACATAGTTGGCACCTCTGATTTAAAGCATACCAGAGAAAACAACCCAAGAAACAGTCTGTGTTCCTTATAAATAGCTGCTCTCTAGGCAGTCATCAGTGTGTGGTTTATGAATAAAATCCGTCCAAACTACACCAAAGTGCCTGAATATTCACTGCCTGATTTTGCTGAGTTGTGTGTCTTAATTCAGCTCACACCTCCCTTTGCAGACCCTTGTCCTGTTCTGTTTCACAGCCCTCTGAACTCTCTGGTAGCATTTGGACAGATTTTATTTAGTTTATTGAAAGATTTTTGCACTGATTTAGTGCACAGGCTACTTGAGCCAAGTGAAACAGGAACTATTTCTGAGGCATAAAAAGGCAGAAAGGAAATTTTCTTATTGAAATATCTTTTTTCCATATTACTTAATAGTCTAGAAAGTTAATGCCTTTCTGGCAGCACTTCCCACTGGGAAAAAAATATGGTTCCTACTCAGCCAAACAACAATGTAATAATGTTTTAGGTTGGGTTAAATGTCTTAGAAACTGGCAGGTGTCACAGCCACCTTGCCTTCAGTGAAAAAAGCAATTGAGAGCCCTTATGGAACAAGGGATTTACATCAGTAGGGGCTACTACACAAAAAACCCCAGGCACATGGCAAGGTTTGAATAGATGGTGAATCATGTGGCCCAAGGGATTTTTCGGGGTGGGGGCGTGTGTGTAAAATATCAGGCCGTGAGGACCAGATGGTAGAGCTCTGCATGTGCGAGAGAAACAGCAAGAAACTGCAGAAATGGAGACAGAGAAGCAGCTGAAAGTGAAGGAGACTGGGAGCTTTGATTTTGAAAACTGTATTTCCAGGGTTTACTGAGGGTCAAAGCAGTGCTGGCACTGTGAGGAAAAGCACAGCTGAAAAACAATTTTGTGCATTTGTTCTGTAAACAAAGTGAATCACCTTGAGTGTACACCTGCTGTGTCATGGCCTTCTCTCACACTGATACTGTCACCATAACTTTGTGTGTGCAGCTGCAGTTCAGCTCTCCTACATTACAGTTTCCCCTTCCCTCTCTGCCCTGCCCAGTCTAAATCCTGTGGGGCAGAGACTGTCCCTCAATAAGGGTCTGTGCACATGACAAACAATTGCTGGCCTTGTGCAGCATCTGAAATTTATCACTCTACTTACATGGTAAGTCCCATTCCTTAGGGTCTGTCTTTCCTACTGTAAATTTTTCAAGGCGTTGCCTCTTGCTCTTTGTGTACGTGCTGCAGTGGGAATTCTTAGCTGAAAACACAAATAATTAATATCACTGGTAATGTTAAAAAATAAATATTTCAGGCTCTGTCTTGTTATTTACATTCTTAACTAAGTTTATGAATATTTCCTTGGACATAAATGGGGCTGCTTGTTCTTCTTGTCAAGTTTGTGTTGAGGTCTTTGTGACTGGGGTCTGTGTTATCAAGAAAAAATTAAGTGTATTTCAAAAACATAGTTCTAAAGATATTTAGGAAGAACAGGTGCCCATTCTTGTCCAGTTTATATGACCAAATAAGAGTATGCAGGAGATGGCACGTGGAAACCCCTCTCTGCAACTGTGGCTACAAAAACTACCATAAGTGAGACCTTGCTGGTGAGCTAAAATACTTGTATTTTCCATTAGAAATATTACTGCAAACCGTGCTGCTTAGCCTAAGGGCTTGCACTGTGCTAGAGCTTAATTGATTGGAAACTTAAAACTTTTACAGTATTCAGAGTTCCTCTAAACAGAAGGATGTAGCTAACCAGAATATTTTGTCAATATTTATTATTTAACGTATTTGTTGTTAAGATATTTATAATTTAAAAGTATTTTTTGAGCAGAAAGGCTTACATTTATGATTCTACTCCCTCACTTGACTCTCTGTAGTCACAAAACTCACGCGCTTTTAGTATTATTAAGTCTCAGTTTCCTCCACTTCTTCAAGCACATCACAAGGGACAAAGAAGGAGGCAGCACAGGGAATTGGTGCTGTTTCCTTAGGTCAGACTAAGGGCATGGCTGAGGTTCTTCCATGGTACCAGAACGGTCCAGGAGGTTGCAAGCACTTTTTCCCCAGTCTTGGTATTTTGAAAAATGGGATTATCAACTTCTTCGATCGCCCTGTTTTGTAAAAAAGCTTCAATATTAAACCTAATCTGTGAGTCATTTTTGGGTGTTCTCATAACTAACCTGAACTACCCATCAATACCATCTAAAAAAAATCTTAAAAATCATGGACTCCCAGCAGTTTTCCTAAGCCGTGTGCTAACCTTTCACTCCTTCCTAATTTTTTCCTTGGCAATCATCAAGCAACAAATTGGTACCAAGATCGGAACACGGATATTTGCCATACCCCATTAAAGCCTTGATTTTGTTGTGCTCTCTGTGAATCTCCACACACACGTACTGTGTGAGGTTTTGATGAAACAACTTGTGCCAAAATCAATATGCAGGCCAAAACAGAAGTAGGAGAAGGACACTTGCAATTAATAATGATTAGATTTGAGTTTTACTAATAGGAAGCTGGATCTCCTTCCATTTAAATCAGTGGCACAACTCCTAATTAGACTTTGCTTTTTTGGAGTCAGCAAATTGCGTGTAGCTTTTGCACAGGACTTGATATGCCCAAAGCACTGCACACTTGATAATTAAAAATAAGTAACTGAGACACTGAAATGTTATATTTCATCAGTAAGAAGTTGACTTGTTACAAATACTTATCCATTACTTTAAAACAGTCTTTGGAGTGTTTACAGTTGATTTTATCATCTGTTCATTTTATATTGTTTCCTTCTGAATCTAAATGTGTACAGATCTCGAAGTTTCCTTAACAATAAAATGGAAAAGGAAACAAAGCTGTGAGAAATGTAAAGATTGTTTTGTGAGACTTGAGAAAAAAAAAGCACCCAAACTCAAAAAAAGCCCAACAGTGGCCCTCAAATTACTTTTATCCCCAAAAAAACCCTTTTATTGCAATAATGGACTTGAAAAAAAACAACCCTGAATTACACTCCTCAGTTACAGAAAGACTACTAATTCTGTCTGCTGATTGTGTCATACATAGTGTGATGCTGGTTTTGAGCCAGGTACAAATAAATCATTTCAGGATAAAACAAATTCTTTCCTGGCCCATCCATTCCTGTGCCGTCAAAAAGCCCTCAGCCATTACAGCCGACAGGAGCTGATGGCTTTTACTGTGTTCCATACAAGATTTATAACACTGTGGTCCATAAAGCATCTTTTTGACAGATCCTACATGATTGCATCAACTTTTTCCTCAGTAAAATGGTGAGTTTTAAATGGGTGTGGCTTTGACTGCCTTTTTATTATTGTAATTTGAATTATATGACACTTTGTTGAGTATTTACGGGTCGCTTCTCTTCTCTGTTGCCGAAATATCCTTTTCTAGCTTTTTGTTTGCCCTTTGCACAAAGCAGGGTCTCCCTTGCCCGAGCTGCGGAGCGCGGTGGTGTTTGCATTGGGTCTGGAAGGCCATCTAGTGACACAACCGTGCAGGGGAAATGCAAAACCCTGTTCGAATTGTGTTGGGTTTTTTTTTTTCCTTAGTTGAATTAAATGGTCTTGCCACACTCGAGTAATGCCCTTGTGGGGTTGCTGCTATTCCCACAAGTGGTATTTCAAAAAAAATTAGAGAGAATTTTGATTTCTTAAGAACTGACAGGGTTCGTTTGAGATGGAGCAGCACACTGTGAATCCCTGCTCGGAAAGAAACACGAATTTTTGTGTGCAGAATGGTGGTGGACTCATGTCTGAGCTGGTCTGTCACAAATCCAGTGTCACTCCCCTGACCTGTGTATTGGAGCCAAACATATCCAGGGGTTCTGATCCCCTTCCAGAGCCAAACTTACCCAGCTGTTGTGATCCCCTTCCAGAGCCAAACTTAGCCAGCTGTTGTGATCCCTGGCTTTCCACGGTACAGACCCCCACCATGTGGGTGCCTGGGGCCACCACATCTCTGCAATTAAAATGTGAAATTCCAGTTATTTTCATCGCAGCTCACCTTGGATGGTGAGAAGGTGATGAGCAGATGATGAGCAGAGCTGTCAGCTCCTACATGAGCAATAAATACCGCAGAAAACAAGCAGTGAGTCACTGCCAGCACCAAGGCCCCTTTCAGAGGGTACCTCGGGGGTCTCTGCCCCCCCCCCCTCAATGTGGCTAGCACCGCTCTCCCCTCGGCCTTGGGGACTGGACGGACATCGGGGCTGGACTGGCAGCATCCCCTCAGCGCTGGCTGCGGATGGCAGGGCAGAGGGGGACAGGGGCCTCGGGCGCTCTCTGAGGGTACAGGGTGGGAGCAGCCCCGGTGGGTCTGGGGGAGGCGGTGCCGAGGGGGCCCCAGAGCTGTCTCACCGGGGCCATGCCCGTGGTGACCCCTCACGCCTGAGGGCGGCTCCGGACCGGCGGGGGGGGACTCGGGGCCCCGGGAGAGGCCCCGGGAGAGGCCCCACAGGCGCCCCGGGGGGACCCGGGCGGGGCCCGGCGGCACCTGAGGCGGCGGCGGCGGCGCGGCCAATCCCCGCTGGGGCGCGGGCGGCTCTGCCCGCCCCGGGCGCTGAGGGGCGAGAGGAGCCGCGTCCCGGCCGCGCCGTGCCCGCTCCCCGTCCCGCTCCCGCTCCATGGAAGCGGCCAACGGGGCCGTGCCCGAGGGCGCGGCGGGGGAGCCCCGCGGCAGCGCGGCCGCCCCGTCGGGCAGGAAGGAGGTGAAGGTGGTGATCGTGGGGGACGGGGGCTGCGGGAAGACGTCGCTGCTCATGGTGTACGCCAAGGGCTCCTTCCCCGAGGTGAGGGGCGGCCACCCCCGCGGGGCTGGGGGGCCGCGGCCGGGGCCGGCCCCAGCCCCTGGAACCCGCCAGAACCGCTCCTCAGAGCCACAGGATCAGTGAGGTTGGAAAAGGTCTCTGAGATCATCGCGATCCTTCTCCTCCCTTTGCAGCAATACGCGCCCTCCGTCTTCGAGAAGTACACGACGAGCGTGACGGTGGGGAAGAAGGAGGTGACTCTGAACCTGTACGACACCGCAGGTAAGGGGCTTTCACCTTGTGCCTCCCATTTCCCCGGTCCCAGTCGGGCTGCCAGGGGCGGTTCCTCTGCGGCCCTGGGATGGGACCGCGCCGGGGCACCGGCCTGGGACTGAGCCCAAACCCGGCCCTGGCCTTTCGTAACTTCAGGCAAATAACCAGAAACTGCGTTTATTGCTGTAAAATGCTGCTCTGGTGAGTGTGCCCCCATTTCTTTTCTTCTTCCTCTCCAGCAGATTTTACTGTGTCAACTTTAACCAAACCGATATTTAAAGATTGTAAAGCTGGACAGATTTTCAGATTGCTTCTCTGCGAGCATACTTTTAACATAATATCACAGTTTAGACTGCTGGAGATTAAAGTACAAACGAAACAACCACCGTTACCTGTTGCAAACAAAAATGTGCCTTACAGAAAAAAAAAGGGTCACATCTAATGACAGCTCTGGTCATGGACTTGTTCATTATCTTAACAACTCAGTTGATTCAGAAACACACACCAAATAGCAAACATATCTGGCGGTATTAAAACCCAGTTCCCACATGCAAAGCATAATACAATCAACCGGGAAAATATTTTAATCTGCTGCCATGTGTGATTAAATAGGGAAGGAGAAAAAGGGTGGTTTGTGTTCAAAATAAAAAGGTCATGGCAGTAAAAGTTATTTGAAAATGCTGATAGTCTGTTCAGGTTCATTTGAGGAACTTGTGAAATGGTTTGTGTTCAACTTCACTCAAAGTTCCCAGGCTCTGTTATCCAGCTGCACTCCTAAATGAACCCTAAAATTGACACGTGCTCCGTTTCAGCTCAGTGTAAATCATCTGTTTCAGTTCAAGCCTGTGGGGTTGTTCCAAATTTACACCAAGACAAATAAGAACCGAATGCAGTCCAGTCAATTTAATAGCAGTAAAACGCACTTGCTGTCTTATATACTGCATGTGGTATCTGAAAAGATAATTTTAAAGGCTTTTAATCTAGAAGTGAATTTTATTGCTAATTTTTACTACAGGACAGTAAGATGCTGAACACCCAATTTGCTGTTGTATCTTCTTGTGTCAACATTACTGTTCTCAAGTGCAGTAGCTTCTACTGAATGGCCAGAGGTTTGTATTTGTCCTAAAGGAAAAGAGAAGGGCTGAAAATCTGGTGTGAGCAACCAAAGAGGGATTTCTTTAATACAGTGTGTTGACACAAAGAACTTCTCGGGTTTTGTTTGCTGTCGGTGTGGAGTGTTTGCCTGTCACACAGTTCCTAGCTCTCATTTAAAGTCACCATGCTGCAAATTCCAACATTTGCCTTTGGAGCTGGATCTGGAGATGGCAGTAGGTAGGGCAGGTCCAGGATTGCAGCACTAAACTCTCTCCTGACCTACGTGCCCGCTCCTTGCATCACACAGAGCCCAGCTCTGCGCAAGACCTGCAGCCACCAGCAGCTCGGGGAACGCTCCTTGAGCCTGGTGCTGGTGGCTTATCACAGAATCAGGACAGTTTGGGTGGAAAGAGACCTTTAAAGGTCATCTAATCCAACCCCCTTGCAATGGACAAGGACATCTTTATCTAGATCAGGTTGCTCAGAGCCCCATCCAACCTGACCTTGAGTGTTTCTGGGGATGGGGCAGCCTGTGCCTCATTGTAAAAATTCTTCTTTATATCTACTGTAAATCTATCCTCTGTTAGTTTAAAACCATTACCTCACATCCTATAATTTCCCTGTTCATGCATGTAACCAGCAGACAGTGTGTACCTTCCACATTTAGTTCATAGCTCTAAAAATTGTCTTGGACCAAAGCACTGCCCCGTTGGGGAACAGAGAGGTGTATTTTGTGTCTCCTGAGACACTTTGGGAAGTGGAGCTGCCACTGTTGCCACGAAAGAGCAATTGCTTTCCGTTTCTCACTTGGAAACCTTGAAACCCAACATGTTTCACCTCCCAAAACGGCATCAGGGCCACAAGGCTACAAGTTTCTAGAGGCTGCTGACACTTGTCTCCTCCCTTCCTGTTAAATTTCTTTCGCTTTTCATGAGGCACAGCGAGATGATTAGGTGCAAAGAAAGCAGGGAGATTGTCACCTTGGTTAAGGCATTTGATTGGGAGGGGGAAATTTGGTTCTGTTTCAAAGCTGTTTACATAGTTTTATGTTACATATCTGTGTCAGACTCTAATTCAAGCAGCTTTTCATCATCTTTCTGTAACTGGAAGTTATGCTAGAGGAAGGACTCACTTGAGCACACATTTTAATCCCATCCTGTTTTTAATAATACTAAACTGGTGTTGAGTTCCTTGAGGGTTTGACTAGGACCAAGAGTAGTGTCCTGTCCTCCAAGTTCAAATAGTGCAGTGAGAGAGGAGGAAAGGGAGGGGAAGGCAAAGCTGTTACTCTAAAAAGTAACACTGGATCTTCATGATTCCCCCACCGCAGAAAAGACTTCAGTATTTATAGGATCTTGCTCAGAGCAACACTAGATAGAGCTGTGTATTCTTCAGCATCATGGGAAGGTAAAAGACAGGTTCAGCTCAGTTTAAAGTTAGAAGGGTTCTTTGTATTGTCAAGTCCTGTGCAACTTGAGCCTTTGAGCTTGTCCTGCTTTCTGAAGGAGAAGGACACAAACAAAGTGCCTAAGAATCAAACATTTCAAGCTACTTTTTGTTGACGAGAATTTTGGTAACAAGTGAAGTGAAGGAATTAGTCTAAAATACCATAGACTAACAATTTTTGGCGAGACTTTTCTGCTGTGCTGCTCTGTCTTCCTCCTCAGGCACCTCTTGCTGTTGCAGGAAGTTGGTGGTACACACATGCAATGGGTAAAGGCTTTGAAATATCACTTGCCTCGTCTGCAAACAGGCTTTGCAGCTGCTTGTTCAGTTAAAAGTTTCCATTTCGAGCTGTGCTCCACAGAGGCAAAGGCACTGAGAGGTAAATGAACTCTGATTTTTACATGCTAAGGGAGCAGTGTCGATGCTGTAGCTGCAGTTCAGACACAAGGCTCAGTTCCTGGTGCCACTCAGTGCAGGACTTTCTCACTTTTTTCACCGAGCTGTGCTGGGCTGGGAGAGGCTGGGGAGGAAGTAATGCCTCATCATTGTGGGTGCTCGCTCTGCCTGACAGGAAGCACAGGCAAAGCCTCCAGCGGGGTTTTTCAGGTCTGCAATGACAGATGCACGACAGTCTCAGGCCTTCAGAGGAGTTCTAAAAGCCAGTGAATGCAAGAATAAGTTTTCATAACTTTGAAAGGGAAGTCATGCCTGAATAAGAAAAAAAACCCAACTTTTTGATTGCAGTGTGCTCCTCCTGCCCTATCTGTCCTCTTCTGCTGGTTTTCTTCCTGCCAAGAATGTCTGTTTCCCAATTTTTTTTTTTAAACTGAGTAGTGAGAAAACATAGCTGGCGACCTACTAACCGTGGCATTCCTGTGGAGCCTGTGGAATAACAAAGCAAAGAGGACTGGGTGCATTTCTGTGTGCCTGTGAGGGCTCACCATTGCAGGGTTCCATGTGGGTCCTAATGAATGTGGGGTAGTACTGACAATGCATGGCCATGTGTAGGAAGTGCTGGGCTGGGCTGGGAGCAGGATGTGACATTATTCCTGCCCCTCCAGAGCTGGACAGCACTGCTGGACATTAGGGCAGCACATACTGGGCACTCCTGGCCTGTCAAGTCTTGACTCTGTCATTTACCCTCTCCTGAGCTCCTTTATGGACTGAGCAACACACAGGCTGGCACTCCTTTGGTGTTGAATTGGCAAAGGGGTGAGGAAAAGCAGACAGAGGTGAACGTGCATGTGAGACCAAAGCCTGTGGTTTCACTTCTCCTGCTCACTCTCACCCACCCCCTGAGCTCCCACCCCACTGCAGGGCCTGACTGCAGTGATGTGGGTTATGCAGCGTCTCCCAGAGGAATACAGGAGTGGGAGCTTTGAAAAGAATTAGCAAATTTTTAGGTGAATTCAGGTAGGTGGATTTTTTTCTTTAAAAAACCCCAAAGTCTCTGATGCTACACTGAATTGACAAAGGCAGAGGAGTCACAGATGTGCTCACACATATGCAGATATTTAACCAACTCCTCCACAGCGTGTTTTTTGTTAATTGAGGAAAGAAAACAGGTACCTGTGTTTGAGGAAGCACACACAGGGGCTTTGCATATACATTCAGTTACTGCTTATTTTCAGCCCTGTTCCTTCTTTTTGAAACTATTCTAGCAGAAGGCCTAAATCTGTGCCAAATTAACTCTGACCACAGTCTGAGCAGCTTTAGAGAGAAAAAGTCTCCCAGGCCCTTTCTTGCATTTCATCAGCCGCACTTGAGGACAGGGGGTGAAAGGGATTGTTTTCAGTGAGAGGGATGTCTATGTTTAGGCACAGCTTGATCTGGGTCCCGTTACATCCTCAGAACTGAAGAGCTGCAACTGAGCTCTTAAAGAGCAG